ACACACACACACACACATGCAGGTGTGTATGTGCTGCAGAACTCCCCACAGCATCAACACCCGAAACCTGCAGTTTGTGCTTTTTTTTTTTTTTTTTTTCGGAATGCAAAACTAATATATGCAGTTGTTGCGTGAGCCGAGTCTGATGCCAAACCTCACACACATATCTGCATGCGCGGGCACCTTGTACCGCACACCCAGAACCTACATCTATGAATGTATTCATGTCTCCAGCTGAGAGCGACGCCGCTGCAGCTTTGATGTGGCAGCGGGGCCACGGCACAAAAGACAAGCTGGCTGATGAAAGCGCCTGGTCTGGAAGAATTATTTCTACAGTTCTCAACATCCAGCAAACACACACACACACACACACACACACACACACACCATGAGGCTACGGGTAAATATACATGTGATTGCCATGAAGCAATTATTAGGCAAAATTAGATCTGTAATTACAGGCCTGAAAATAAAGTGGGGGGACTTTATTAGTGGAACTGTTTTCCACTCAGCACCGAGACAAGAGAATGGATCCTGTGACAGAGAACTTCTGGTTCCAGACCTGAGCTGCACAGCTGGAGTTCATCCATAATAATAACAACATATAATTAAACACAATGATGCAGTAAAACACGCCATAGTTCAAGGATACTGAGCTCTTGACCCACATTTGTTTGGGTTCGTTTTAAGAACTCTTGATAAAAGTAATTTAAATGTTTTTTTTTTTTTAAATGTTAAGATCATTCTTCTGATTTTAACAGGTTCAAGGTTAGTTTTATTGAAACTGTATTCTGTGTCTTTGTCAGCTGCCCTTTAAGAGTGATTCAATTTGGACAATTTAGTTTAAAAAAAACAAAATACATTCTTTTCTTTCTCTCGTCTTCAATGAAACGTTCCAGTTAAAAAAACTTATAAAGACCAAAAATTTACAGTTTTTTTCCCCCCTCATCCAAAGAATATTTCATTTTCAATAAGCCATTAACTATCTGGCTGATTTAGCCGCTCGTCCTTTGTAGCCTCTAAATATGTTTTTACTTTCTAAAGGAAAGTAAAACGTGTTTGAATATTTCAACGCTTAGGTTTAAAAAAAGACGTACACCTTTTTATGGTTAATCTCTAACTACAGTAAAGTCAAAACGACAAACGAGTTCAGGCCAAAGTTAATTCTCTGGATACTTCAAATCAGCGAATCAACCGTAAACCAACAAAACGACCACAAATTTGAAGCATATTTGATCATATTTCGCTAAGAAGAACTTTATTCCCTGTCGTAGCGTTTGCTCTGAACATTAACTGGAGCCACTGACCTCTATCTGCATGATTTTACGCCTCATGACTGCACGGCCGAGCACCAGCACAGGTACTTTTAATAAAGTGCTAGATAAGTATATAGGCTACGCTTCAGTCCTCAACCTTTCCACTCTCTACATGCAACTTCATCTTCCCACTCCGCTTTTAATCTCGTCTTTCTCCGAAGCGTCACATTAGCCACAGTAGGACAGTAAGGTGGCGCCTACTTGCCAGGGACAAAAGAGCGTTCTCTAGCCTCGAGGGGAGACGGCAAAGGGCGCAGGAAAAATAGTTTGAGTGATGTCTCTGTCTGCCTGACTAATGAACAGTTCAGCCCGGGTCAATCCATTACAACCAAAAGCATTTAATTATTAATTACGGCCAATCTTTGGGCAGTTAAGGACAAGTGACATTTATTGTTTAATGTGCAATACAAGTGAAGGTG